CCATCAGGTGGGGCTTTTAAAGATCCCTTCAAAACTGGACTGTTGTCCACAGCTACCAAGGCCTCCACCGGACTGAGTCCAGTACAGCTAGATGGTACCCGGCTACCACCACTGACTGCCCTGACCAGGATCACAACAGAGGGTTCTGGACAGAGCTGGAGAAGGATGTAGAGCATAATTCTAACTCACAAAAAAAAGACCAGATTTACTGGCCTAAAGGAGACTGGAGAAACCCCGAGAGTATGGCCCCCAGACACCCTTTTAGCTCAGTGGTGAAGTTACCTTCGAGGTTCACTGTTCAGCCTGGGAGTGGACAGCCCCGTAAAAACAAATGAGACTAACGAGGTACAGGAGTCCAGTGACAAGGGCCAGAAGGCAGAAGGGGACAAGGAAGCTGGTGATAGGGAACTCAAGGTTGAGTAAGGATATTGTTGATGTGTTGTGAGATTGTTAACCATTGTCATAGGGCAACATTTGTAGTAACTGTTAAATGAGAAACTATTTTGTTCTGTAAGCCTCCATCTTAAGTGAGAATAACAGCACAATTGGAAGAGTGTAGTCAATGTCACTGAACTGTGTATGTAGAAATTTTTGAAATGGTGTATCTTTGGCTATTTTCACCAAAAAAAAAAAAAGGTTGAGAAGTTAGAGGGTTAATATGTTATGAGGTTGTTAACCAATGTCATAAAACAACATGTGTACTACTGTTTCATGAGAAACTATTTGTTCTGTAAGCCTTCACCTGAAGTACAATAAAATAAAATTAAAAAAAAAAAAAACTGGACTGTTGAGAACTGCAGCAGAACCCTGGAGAGTAGGAGGGTGTGATGCATGGTTTACTAACTGCTGAAGAGAGGAAACAACCAGGCCACCTACTGGGAACAATCCAACCCAGGCTTGCGAAAGCATGGGCTGCAGTGAAATGGAATTCTTCATGCCAGGCACCCTGCATGCCAGGCACCAGGCTAAATGATATGAACCCAGAAATGAAGACAATTCAGACCCAGGCCCAGAGAAGACTGACTGGTAATACAGCAGCCAGTGGAATGATAGAGGAGGGTCCCTCCAGCTCTGTCTGTGGGGAGCTAGAAAAGGCATCTGAGAGAAACGGACTCTTCAAGAATGAGCAGGAACTCACTAGGCAAAGAACCCGGCAGCCACTATAACGCTGCCCAGCATATGATGGAATTACCAGACTCCTAATCTGGAAAAAGTCTATATGTATGTGAGTGTATGTGCATGCACTTGTGAGAATATGTATATGTGTGAGTGTACATATATTCTAGGGAAATTACATATCTATGTGAGTATATGTGTATTTGTGAGAATGTGTATATGTATGAATGTATATATATTCTAGGGAAAGTATATATGTACAAATGTGTATATATGGAGCCCTGATGGCACAGTGGTTAAGAGCTATGGCTGCTAACCAAAAGGTCAGCAGTTCGAATCCACCAGCCGCTCCTTTTTTTTTAAATGTGTATATATAGGTACGTGTGTGCATTTGTGAGAATATGCGTATGTGTGAATGTACATATATTCTAGAGAAAATATATATGTATGTAGGTGTATATGTATGTATGTGAGTATACGTGCATATATTTGTGAGAGTATGTATATGTGTGAAAGTACGTATATTCTAAGGAAATTACATATGTATGTGTGTATATATGTACGTATGTATATATACAGAGATACATACGAGCACATATAATTTTCCCAGAATATATATACACACACCCATATACATACATGTACATTTGCATGCACGCATACATGTATATATTAAATACCTGTACACGTGCAAGATATCTTTTTGCATTTTCTTTTCATGGGCACGTGTGTGGGGGGAAGCATGGACTTAAAAAGTGAAGAGTACAACTGGTCAATAGCTGAGCCTCCTGGTCAGAAAACACCACTCTCCCTCCTTGCCAAGAGATCTATGTTCACAAGACACTTTAAGATTCCATGCTCTGAACTAGCTGGTAGACAATTTAAAAAAGGAAGTCATGCAGGGAACGACTACGTTTACCTGCCTTCTCAAGTCCCTGTCTCCTGAGCCTCTGTTCTCCACACAGAGAGCAGGGGTGTGGGCTGCACAGAGTCAGGGTAGCTAGTCATGTGCTGACATCTGGCCTTACTTGGGAGTCCCTGGCCAGAGCGAGCCGCTCCTAGACAGCTGAGGGAAAGCAACTTGGTGGCCTGGGTTCCTGGTACTAACTTGAGCCTCTGGAATTGCAGTCTAGGAGCTCAGGCCCAGAGGAGTCAATGTCTAGGAGGTTCATCTCATATGAATAGACTTAGGGAAGCAGCTTTCTGGCAATGGTAAAAACTGTGCTGGTTTATATATTTGTAGCACCATATTTAGTAAATTTATCACATACACGCTACCATTTGCTTCTTCTGAGCCCATGACAAAACCAAAAAACCAAACCCCTTGCTGTCGAGTGGATTCTGACCCATAGTGGCCCTATAAGACAGAGAACTGCCCCATAGGGTTTCCAAGGAGCAGCTCGTGGATTAACTGCCTACCTTTTGGTTAGCAGCCATAGTTCTTAACCATTACCCCACCAGGGCTCCGAGCCCTTGACAGACATGAGTAATCTATCATGATATACTTTGACACAGATACGGAGGCCTCATCATCCTTTTATACATACTTTTCTAGGCAGTTGCTACCAAGTGCTATCCAGAAATACTTTGTAGTTCCCAAACATCATTCATATTCCGTACCTAACTTGCTTTACATAAGACTGTCACAAGATCAGACAAAGCAGGCATGGCTGTCCCCATTTTAAATATGGGGAAACAGAGGTAACAGAGGTTAAGTGACTCTCCTGAGGTCCCACAGTTTGGAGGGATAGAGCTGGGATGAAAGTAAATCCTCTCAGTATGATCCTTCTCACACTTGCTGTCTTGCTGTCTGTGCTGAAACCTGGGAAGGTTCACAGCAGAAACGCTCTGCCACAGCCCCAAGACTCATTCAAAGTAGGTACCCATGCCTGATGTGACCCTGCTGAGGTGGACACCCAAGCCCAGCTCTCGCCTGTGAGTCACCACTTCTGTGGAGATCCTGCCAAGACGGAACTCTTTCTTCTAAGGTTCTGAGCCTTGCACATTCATCTCTTTATTCCTAGCAAGGAAGACAATGCCTGGCACAAAGCAGGTGCTCAAGAAATGGGCACTAACCTGAAGCAAAAAGAGACAGAGCCTTACACTGGGTTCAGTGTCTCTAGAAGGAGAGTGATATAATGCAGCAAATAAAAACAGAAGCTTTAGAAGCAGGCTAGTCATGTGATAATGGGCTACTGAGCCTCAGTTTCTTTATCTGAAAAATGGGGAGAATCTCACCTTCTCCATAAGACTGTTAAGGAATTAAATGGAGAAATTTTTAAAAGAGCTTGGTAGGAGTCATGATGAGTATTAAGAGGAAGAGGAGAAAAAGGAGGAAGAGTAGTAGGGCAAACAGACTTGAAGGTGACACCCTCACCCCCCGCCGTGATCCTCATGCTCTGTGTTCATGCCCTTGTATAATCCTCTCCTTTTGCATGTGGGTGTGACCTGTAACTTGCTTCTAACCAGCAGAATATGGCAAAGGTAATGGAATATCATTCCCGTAATACAATGTAATCATGAGAACAACATTCTATCACCTTTACCATATTTTATTGGTCTATCTTGCTAGCAGACTTGTTCCAAAAATTTTCTCTCTTTCTGGCATTGAAGAAGTGCCCTGTTGGGAGGCCTACGTGGCCAGGAGCTGAGAGTAGCCTCTAAGAGCTGAGGGCGGCCTCCAGGCTCCAGCATCCGGCCTCCAGCCTCCAGCACATGAGAAGCCAGAACCTTCAGTTCTACAACTGCAAGGAAATGGATTCTGCCAAAAACCTGAATACGTTTGGGAGTGAACCATTACCCAGTTGAGCTTCCAGCCTGGCAGCATTGTGAGGCACCTAGCTAAGCCACGCCTGACTCACAGAAACTAAGCGATAACAAATTTGTGTTTGAAGCTGCTAAGTTTGTGATGGTTCGTTATGGAGCAATAGAAAGCTAATACGGGGTGGGGCGGGTTTGAAGAGAAGAAGAGAAGGGGGATCAATAGAAGCTAGTCTTAAGAAATCAACTGTAGGGCAGCAAGGAAGTTTCTTTCTCTTTGAGTAGCAGTGCAGTCCAAAATTTTAGCTAAAGCCAACCTGTGTTTTCAGGTGGAATCTCCACAGATTTGAGCAGCATAGCAACTATGAAAGGCCACTTCTCACACTCAAGCAACTTTTCCACAACAAAAGCTTGAGGGGCTTGGGCTTCTCTTTTTCCCTATGCCAGGGACAACAATCAGCCTAATGCCGCCTAATTGACCTCCCGCCTCCTTGGTCTGTCTCCGGCAGGGCCGCTGGGACACTTCCCATCAGGCTGAAGGCAAGGCAGTGCCCAGCCCGCGGGCGTGCCTTCTCAGGATGAACCTTCGCCCCCCAGCACACGCCAAGGCATTAAAAATTCCACTGCTCAATTCCCTTCCCCCAGTAAGAAAACCAGAACCACCCCTCTCCAGAGCTATATCCTTTGATTTCTCAGACCCAATTAGAGTTGGCAGGATTAAGCCCACTCCATGCTGCTTAGTTTGTTTTATTTTTTGAAATATTTCCAGAGTAATCTGTAAAAAGTACAGGGAGAGGGAGAGCCACAAAGATAGTAGGAGGCAAGAAGTGGGGCATTCTCCCCTCAAACCATCAGCATTTCCCATTGGCCTTGGCCAGTCTTTTTTCTGAGAGGATCAAGATGAAGTGGTTTTATGTGTGTGTGATCTTACCAGGAGAAGTGAGCTGATACCCATAATCCCCAGTACAAAACAATTTAGAAAAAATAGATTGTCAATGCATGTGACAGAAACACTGCTTATTTCGCAAAGATTTCAGTGTTCCCTCCCCCTCACCTGTTCGACCCCTCCTGGACTGGTCTCAACTGTAACTCATCAATCCCCAACGTTTAAAACCTGCTCTTACCTACAACCTGGATAATCTGGGCCAGGAGGACGCCATCCGTCACATCTTGCTGGAGATCCTTGATGAGACGTTTGTGGCCTGATTTGGCTAGATAATGATTGGCCCAGTCGGTGTAAATCTGTAAGAAAGCAAACAGGCAACATTAGGAACCGAGTGGGACTCCATCTCTGGGTCTGAGGCAGCTGCCTCTGCCGGCGTGCAGCTACTGTCTCGCCAGCGAGCTGTCGGGCCAGCCGGCACCATTAACATTCAGTGCATTGTGCTGGGCGGGCATTCAGCTAACCATAGCTGGGCTCTAGCCTATTGAGAGATCTGCATCAAGGCTCAGGGAAAGCTAAAGAAAGCTTCAAAACATGCAAAGGCCTGAATGGGGCAGGGGACACGGAACTAAACAGCCTGCTCTGGGCTGCTTTGAGAGGCTGTGGCTCAAAATGCAAGCTAAATCTCCCCCTAATCCCACCCCACCCCACCACCCCGCCCCTTCTTATCTTTTTCTCTTTATTGAGAAAACGTATGGGGAAGTTACCACCCAACAGGCATCTCTTAATGGGCCATTTCAGAGTAAGGAGAGCTATTGAGTAAGCTGAGTTCTCAGGAGCCTGGGTCCCCTGTAAAGAAGCAAAGTACTAAAACACAGAGCCCCTTCAATTACTCTTGTGTGAGCGGAGTTATTTATGGCTGCACAATAATCTCCAATTTAATCTGTTTAATTTAAAAGCCAAGCATTATTTCCACTGTTGGGATTCTGTGACCAAAAACTAGCAAATTCCAACATCTTTAAATACAACACTGGTAAGCAGAGCACCCTGGAAGGCGGAGGCAGGGTCATAATGGGAACAGGAAAACAGACCTCTTGGGGAATATATCAGATCTACTCCTCTAGGTCACAGAATTATCAGCACAAAAGATTATTTTCTTAAAAAGGCCAATGAGCACAAGAAAACTGTCTTCTGAAAACTTTCTCCCAGACTGTCAGAAGCCAAAAACTTCCTCATCGATTCTCAGTTCTAAATTCCATGCATGAATTTGTGTGCGTGCGTGTGCGTCAGCACTTTTTTTTTTTTTTTAATCCCCAGAGTGATACGGACAAACCATTGCTCAAAAAGAGAACGATCCCACCTCATCTGCTCCATATATTAGCAGCAGGTTTACATACTAACTGACGTGACACTCCCACCAAAATGATTAGGTTCATCATTGCATCTCTACCAGCAGGCCTGCTCTGAGAATTCCATGTGACTCAGAGCAGTGGAGTCCCTGAGTGGTACAAACCATTAACGCGCTCAGCTGCTAACAGACAGGTTGGAGGTTCGAGTCCACCCAGAGGTGCCTCAGAAGAAAGGCCTGGTGATCTACTTCTGAAAAATCACCCACTGAAACCCCAATGGAACACAGTTCTACTCTGTCACACATGAGACTGCCATGGAGTCAACTCAATGGCAACTCGTTTTTTAAAGTATTTTTGAAGAAACAGACATACCTCAAGAATAGCCAACCCCACTTTTGGGTGTGGGTTTGTGAGCATTTCAGTAGAGCTTCCAGACTAAGATGGATGAAGAAGAAAGGCTTGGCCATCTGCTCCCAAAACCAATCAATGAAACCCTATGGATAACAACGGTCCTATTTGAAACCATTCACAGGGATGGCCCAGGACTAGGCAGCATTCTGTTCCACTGTGGATGGGGTAGCCATGAGTCAGGACTGACTCAATGGCAGCTAACAACATCACCACAATCCACACTGGAGTCCTTGGGTGGTGCAAACAGTTAATATGCTTGGTTGCTAACCAAAAAGTCAGAGCCTGCCTAGAGGCACCTTGGAAGAAAGGCCTGGTGATCTACTGCTGAAAAATCAGCCATTGAAAACCCTGTGGAGCACAGTTTTACTCTGACACACATGGAGGCACCATGAGTTGGAGTTAACTCAGCAGCAACTGGTATTGGTTAACACCTCCACTGCCCTCTGAAACTCTGGCTGGAAGGGTGTCCCACCAGACATGTCTGAGGGATCATAAAAACATTCCAAAGTTTAAAGCCCTATGCCTCAAGAACATCAGCTGAGATTAGAAGGGGACACAGACAAGGACACTGCTGAGTTGGAAGTGACACTAGTGCTCCATCCCACTCCCTTCCTAGATGATTAGGGGCACTTCAGAATACACAAATCTTTCTAAAACCAGCCCTCCTTAAGTCTGCACAATCCAGCAGGAAGCCAAGCTTAAGCAAACTTCTTTCAACAAGTGTACACACACACAGACACACATACACATACAAAGAACACAGAGCTGTGTTGAGGCCATGGAGGCATCAAGTACACCTGGGAGAAATTTTAACACCTACGCTGTTGTTGTGTTGTTGTTAGGTGCCGTCTAGTCAGTTCCAACTGATAGCGACCCTACATATAACAGAACGAAACGTTGCCTAGTCCTGCGCATCCTCATAATTGTTGCTATATTTGAGCCCATTGTTGCAGCCACTGTGTCAATCAATCTCGTTCTTCTTTGCTGACCCTCTATTTGCCAAGCATGACGTCCTTCTCCAAGGATTGGTCTATAGTGGTCAGCACTGCCAAAGTGAACCTCTTTACACCAAACTGTTTAAAAACAAGAACTCTTCTCTCAACTTTCATCCACCTACACACCACTTCCAAATTAATCTTCCCAGAGCACAGCTCTAATCTTATCACCTGTTCAAAAAATCTTCAATTGTTCCCCACCTCCAACTGAGATAAAAGCAAACTTCTCTCACTGTGATTCAAAGCATTCTCATCATCCATCCTCTCTACCCCAGAACAGATCCTACCCTTGCAGGGGAGGAAGTCTCTTTGGAAAGGGACAGAGTTGAGTTGGCCCTCAAATTGGCAAGTTAATTTCTATTTACTTAATCTTTCTGGAACTCAACGTTATCCTCCATAAAAGAGGATCATACCAAATATAATGCAGGAGCTGGCCAACTATGATGGGGCCAAATCCAGATGACCACCTGTTTTTGGAAACAAAGTTTTATTAGCACACAGCCACGCTCATTTGTTGTCTATGGCTGCTTTCATGCTACAAAGGCAGAGGTGAGTCGAGTCCTTGTGACAGAGACATCTTTGGTCTGCAAAGCCTCTAATATTTACTATCTGGCCCTTTATGGAAAAATTCTGCCAATCTGTGTTATACAGACTAAATGAGATAATCTGCCTACACATACCAAGTACTCAGTAGTAATTATTAGTCACCTCAGGAAAACTAAACACACCTGGCACATTCCAGTCTCCAAACGCATGCAAACCCTCCGCCTGATGCCATTCCTACTACCCAATCTCTGTCTGGGCCTACCCTGCCCACCCTGCAAGACTCAGTTCAAATGTCAGTCCCTCCATGAAGTCATTCTTGGTTTCCTTCTCCCACCTTCAGCTACATATGATCTCGAGACCCCAGAAAACGTATACACTAGCACCACCTCACAGCCATGGGCACACCCATCACGTCCCCAACAGATTTTGGTAGAGACTGGGTCTTGCCCATCTTTGCACTCTGGCAGTGCCTCACTGCGGGGATGGCACATGGCACTGGTAAGTGGTTGCTGGGTTCAGCTGAACAGAAAAAGCAAATCTTTGGGAAACTGATTACACTTGACATTTGAATAATGTAGGCTCTCAGCGAATCCTTAAACCTGAATCTCTTTACTGACTGAAAAGAGGAAGAAGCAGGAAGAATAAATCACGACATAGCTCAAGTTCAGTAATCAGGAGCCAGCTAACAAGCATCATTCGTTATCTGAAGTTTCTCCCCTCCCCCTTTTGCCTGCCCACAGTCCTCAACTTTTCGAAGAGGTGAATCACAGCAAAATATCTAGACTTATTTTTAGAAATCTCTTTTCAAGGGCAATGCTAAGCCTTGACATAAATCCAGTCCCATCTTCTTTTTCGCTGTTGCAGTAGCTCCTGCAATGAAAACCACTCTTCCAAGGAGCATCTTAAAAAATAAACTAGTAACATTCTTAGTCATCAAAGACAGATCATCAAAGATAGACTCCATCAGGTTCATCAACTCAGCAAAAATGGACCAGTGTGTATTTGTTAGATTTTAAGCCAGGGCTTTCTAAGTCTCAGTCACCCAGAAGTGATTTCTCCAGAGCCTCTCATTTCCTGAAGTTTTGAGACTCAGGTGCTGCTTTTGCTTTTTCCCTGGAGCCTACTGATCCTTGATCCTGGTTTGCCACAGGGAAGGCATCTGTGAACTTTCAGTAGAAACTAACGTGAAGAAGAACCTCACAGTAAGAAAGACTAAAACCACCATCACCAACCCCAACCTCAAATCATCAAATCGTTCCCAAGAATGTTCTAGAATCATTTCACACTTGTATCAGAGAAGAAGTCCCTGGGTAGTTAGTTACCTATGGTTAATGCACTAGGCTGCTAACCGAAAGTTTGGAGGAGGTTCAAGTCCGCACAGAGGTGCCTCCGAAGAAAGTCCTGGCCATGTAATTCTGAAAATAAATCAGCCATTGAACACCCTATGGGGAACAGTTCTTCTCTGATACACATGGGGTCGCCATGAGTTGGGCTGACTCGATGGCAACTGGTTTTATGGGAGGAGTCAGTTGATACAGCCACTTTCCCACTCTGATCTTTCCATCTCGAAGAATTCACCTCTCTCTCAACGCCTCTAACCCAAGACTCAATGCAACCATCCCCCAAGCTCCTGGAGAGCTCTGTGAAGGAGAGAGGTGCTGTCAAAGGCTTGAAGAGATAAAAGGGGGAAGGCAGGCAAAGACAGCTAAACAATGAATTCGTTTTGATTCACTTTATCATCCCTGACAGAATTTCAAGGAGTGTGTCATTTGTTTGCTTATAACTTCACTTGTTCCATATCAAACAGGCTGAAATCCAAGAGAAGACATTTTGACAGATCAACTGAAGTAAAAAAAAACCTGATTATTAGCTATAATAAAAACCTAATAAAAAACTACACTGTGTCAACGTTGCTAAGTTTATACTGCAATTAGCCCTCAAATGAAGCCGGATTGCACTTTAAGTAAAAAAACCAAGAAAAATTCCACGAAACAACCACACCAAAAGTCCTGGAATGGAGCCAGAATAGCCAAACTATAAATATGGACCAATACACCA